TGCTATGCCGCACCAAACATTGAACAGAAGAAATCGGTGTCTTACCGCAGAATGACGAACTGATGGGGTGGATAATTGGGGAAAACGAGTGGGGTATCATCCAACCAATCCTCTCAACAGACTGAGAAATCTGTCAAATGTTCTTTCTTTCTTTCTTTCTTTCTTTCTTTGTCCTTTTGTCCGTTTCTTTTTTATAACATTTTTTTTATTATTCGATAGTTTTCTTCGTTTTTTTTCTCATTTGCTCTTTCTTTCCTTTTCCTTTCATTCTATATTTCTATATCTGTGTTCATTTTTTTCCGGCTTTTTTTTAACATTTATATCTTTTTTTTCTTTTTCATTTTTCTTTTCTCTATTTTCTTCCTTCTTTCCTTATTTTCACTAGGTTTTGTTTTCATTCACTTGTTTTTTCTTTCTGTCTCTTTATTCTTTTTAAACTTTTTTGCTTGATTGTTTTTTTTTTCGTTGTTTTAATTTTTACTTTTTCTTTTCTCTACTTACTTAATTTTATCTTCATTCACATGATACTTTTCATTCCTTTTTTTTATTCTCGTTTTCTTTCGTTTCTTTTTTATTTCCTTCTAATTTCTCTAAATTTTTTTAATTCTTTCTTTTCATTTCTTCTTCATTACTGTTTTTGCCAAATATTTTCTTTATTTTTATTCGGTTTATTGGTCTTGTCTCCTATTAGATCTCTATTTTTTTTCCTTTTGAGTAAATTCCTTTCTTGAATAAACTCTTTCTATTCATTTAGTCTTTCTTTTATTTTTTTCTATCCTTCTTTCTTTTTCTTTTATTTTTTTCTCTGTTTTAGCTGCTCTAAAATTTATATGAGGAATTAAGTCTTGCAGAGTATTATACTGCTTAGATTTAGATTCTCACCGTGTGTACGATGAAAATGAACACGTGCCAAACAAAGATAAGCCTAGAATATATTTACATCATATTTTGTTTATCAATTACATTGTTTCCTTTTATACTTTCTCACATCAATTCTCGTATTATTTTTTTTATTTGTTTTCTTTCCTATTTTTCACATACCATTCTTTATCTTGATTTTCTTCTTTTATCTTCATCTTTCTTCTCGTTTCTTTCTCGTACTTTTCATTTCCTTTAAATCTATCATTTAATCCATTTCATTTTCTTTCACTATTTCATTCATGCCTACTTTGATACTTTCTTTCTTTCTTTAATTTTTATCTTTTGTTGGCTTTTACTTTTGCATTATGTTCCTTTTCTTTTAATTCCAGTTTCCTTCCTTCCTTCCTTCCTTCCTTCCTTCCTTCCTTCCTTCCTTCCTTCCTTCCTTTATTTCTTTCGCATAATTTGTTTTCTGGCTTCTTTTTTCACTGACATTATCTTTTTTCATTCTTCCGGCCGGTTTTCTTTCTTTCGTTCTTTCTTTCGTTCTTTCTTTCTTTCTTTCTTTCGTTCTTTCTTTCTTTCTTTCTTTCTTTCTTTCTGCTAGATTTAAGTATTTCTTTCTTGTAAATTTTCTTCATTCCTTTATTCTTTCTATCTTTCTTTGAATAAATTCATGTCTTCCTTTCTTTCTTTCTTTCTTTCTTTATTCATTTCTTTCTCTCGTGTATATTCAAGTATTTTTCTTTCTTTCTTTCCTTCTTTTTTCATTGGGTCTTTCTTTATGCACACTCTCGGCTTTTTTCTTTCTTTCTTTCTTATTTTCTTTCTTTCTTTCTTTCTTTTAGATTCCGCTTTTGTATTCTTTCTTTCTTTCATTCTTTTAAATTCTAGTCTTTCTTTCTTTCTTTCTTTCTTTCTTTCTTCACTTTGATTTCTTAATACGCTGACAGTTCTTTCTTTCTTTCTTTCTTTCTTTCTTTCTGCTAGATTTAAGTATTTCTTTCTTGTAAATTTTCTTCATTCCTTTATTCTTTCTATCTTTCTTTGAATAAATTCATGTCATCCTTTCTTTTTTTCATTGGGTCTTTTTTATGCACACACTCGGCTTCTTTCTTTCTTTCTTTCTTTCTTTTTTTCTTTCTTTCTTTCTCTCGCATAATTTATTTTCTGCCTTCTTTTTTCACTCTGACATTATCTTTTCTCACTCTCCCGGCCGGTTTTCTTTCTTTCTTTCTTTCTTTCTTTCTTTCTTTCTTTCTTTCTTTCTTTCTTTATATATTTATTTATTTGTTTATTTGTCTATTGCATAACCAATTTCTTTCTTTTGTTATTTATTTCGCTTCTCTTCCTATTCTTCCTTCTTTCCTTTCTTTTTTTCTTTGTTTTTATATCTCTATTACCTAATCAGTTTCTTTCTTTTTTTCAGCTAACCACATTTTTCCTTTCTTTCTTTCTTTCTTTCTTTCTTTCTTTCTTTATTTATTTATTTCCTTCTTTCTTTCTTTTTCTCATGTCAACTAACAATATTATTTCTTCCTTTCTTTCCTACTTCCTACCTTTCTTTATTTCATTTCCTTTCTTTCTTTTTACTTCCTTTCTTTCTTTTTTCTTCCATTACGTAAGCACATTTTTTTAACCAATTTCTTTTTCATTTATTTATTTAAATGCCCTTCTTTTTTCTTCCTACATTCTATCTCTCTTTCTTATTTTATATATTTCAATTGAATTCTTTCTTTCTTTCTTTTTCTTTCTTTCTTTCTTTCTTTCTTTTTCTTTCTTTCATACCCCTCTATTACCTAACCAAATCCTTTCTTTCTAACCGTCCCTTTTGCAGCTTTAATTGTTCTCTCTTCTCTACTTCAGCTCCTCCGTCTTCCTTGACACCCCCTCCCTTTTGTCTCTCCATTTCCACCCCTCCCAATTCTAAAGCAGCTGCTCTCCCTTCCGGAACGACGTGTCTACATATTAGTTACCACGCACCAAGGACCACATGTCAATGGACCGTTGGTCTCTAGTGCACTTTTAATTCCTCGCCAACAATAGGGGGACAATAAATCACGCCGCCTTTCTTTTTAGGAAGCTGAGGAGTGAGAGACCGCCGTTTGGGCTGACTGAAAGAGGCCGAGGAAAACTTTGGAAGGTGGAAATTGTGGGGTAAGCTGTCATCGCTCATGACAAATTTCGATATCCCCCCAACCCCGCACGCCGAGACAGTGTTAATGGCGTTTTAAAGCCGTCAATTGCGATGGTGATTTGTCGGCAGTGGGTGAGGGACTAGGGCAGTATATTTGGGCGGGCCGCTACGGTAAAGAATGATTCGTAACATGTGACCTTTACTCACTTATCTATCCATCTTATCAGCGAATTTATCGATGAAACTGTCCAAAGATAGTCCTCTACTATCCTAATTTACTGCTTTATATAGTCTGGCACAGGGCCGTTGAATTCGTAGCACCTAAGGAACATAAATTAGCGATGTCATTAATTTTTGTCTGAATTTCTGGGGTGAGGAGTTACCATTATTTACCCTATTTATATTCGGACTAGTATCCACATCTCCAGATTGACTTCTGTCTGGATTTCTCGGATTAGGAGTTATCATTATTTACACTATTTATATTCGGACAATTATCCTTATCATTGTTGTTCTTATCATCTGATCGCCTAATGTCTGAATTTTTGGGGTGAGGAGTTATCATTATTTACATTATTTTATATTCGGACTGTTATCCTCATCATTGTTGTTCTTATCACCTGATCGCCTAATTTCTGAATTTTTGGGATGAGGAGTTATCATTATTTACACTATTTATATTCGGACGGTTATCCTCATCATTGTTGTTCTTATCACCTGATCGCCTAATGTCTGAATTTTTGGGGTGAAGAGTTATCATTATTTACACTATTTATATTCGGTCTATTATCCCCATCTTTGTTGTTCTTATCCCCAGATTGCCTTCTGTCTGGATTTCTCGGATGAGGAGTTATCATTATTTATACTATTTATATTCGGACGGTTATCCTCATCTTTGTTGTTCTTATCACCTGATTGTCTTTTACCTGAATTTCTGGGATGAAGATTTATCATTATTCACACTATTTATATTCGCAGTATTGTCCTCACCTTAGTTGTTTTTGTCACGTTTCAGTTGTTGTGTCCCGTATTAAAAGAAAATATCCGAATCTTGATGAATCAGGATGGAAATAACACAAAGAATAGAGCGGGTTTGTTAAAGACACTGCAACAAGAAATACAATATTTATATTCAGAATTATATTAGAAAGAAAAATGAAAAAGCAAAAGGATATGTTCCTATTTTTCATAAAGTATACCTAAACGTTTGATAAAAGTACATACAAAAATTGCTGGAAATTCTAGGTAACCTTGATATATGTGGGACTGATAGATATTATAAAAATACAGAGCTAATACTGGCAGCAAAATGCCTGTCTACAGATATGAATTGGGTTCAGTAAATATACAGAAATTAAAAAGGGCTGTAAGACAAGGATGCACCTTCTCACCAGAACCTTTCAACCTATATAAGGTGAGAATTAGAAGCCCTACGTACATTCATTATTGGCGACTATAATTTTAACATTTAGCAATCAGCATCATTTATATATATATATTACTTCCCCTTTAGTTCTATATATTTGAAATTGCAGTAGCATGGCTCTTAACTTCAGTCAATATTGATTTAGTTGTTGCCATAGAAGGATATGACAACACAGCCAAGAAATTCATATTCAACTTGCATTGGCAGGACTAATAATTTGCTTGGTGAAAATAGTCAACTACAGAGTGCTAAAGGTTCACAAAATGATATATGCAGATGTCAGAGTTTTGATAGATGACAGATTTTTCACGTCCTCTTGTTTACTAATGCCTTTTTGAAAGGCATGAATCACTTTCTCCCCACTCATTTGAAAAGCAACGTGGACCGGACTCTTGATGTTGAACCCGGTGTTAAGTCGAAGATCCACAGCAACAAATTCTTGAGTGTTTTTCTTAACAGAATGATCAAAGTGAGTTTTCGGAGCAGCCTTACCTTCGTCATCGCCATTAGACTCAATCAACACTTTCCGCTTATCTCATGTTATTTGGAAGAAGGAAAAAACTCATATAGATACAACTTATGAAGAAAAATATACTGAAAAAAAAACAAACAAAAATCCTTATATGCGATTAACAGCATAATCGCATATTAGGATTTTTGTTTGTTTTTTTTTTTCAGTATATTTTTCTTCATACTGTCGGATCTATATCCATATATTTACATACAAAGAAATAATCACACATAGAATCAATCAGAAGTATTAATGGGATTATTGGCGACATCCATCGCTAGAAACATAATATATGCATTAAAATACTGTTCATCCATAGTGCGAAGTGATCCTCGTCGATAAACTTGATGTCGGTAGTTTTCAGTTTATTTGATGTTAAAATGCTAGTACTTACGAATAGTCATCTATTCATCATCAGGCATGTGTTTTTTTTTTCCTTATAAAATCAAAAAACTTGAGACGATATACCTGTATGTCGACCGAAAGATGTTTTTTGAATATCTGCTATTATTGACGGTTGTGTAAGATCTTGGAACGTGCAAAGACGCAACGCTAGTTTTTCAAAATTTTAAGTGAGAATTTTATTTAAATATTTCTTGTGATGTGTTAAATCCACGTATTCTATTTTTTACAAGTGTATTCAGTTTTTATGTCATGAACTAAGTATATAGTTCAATAATATAGTGTAATGTCTTTGTAGTAGTTTTTTTATAGGAATTTTTATGTACTGCGGATCGATAGTTTTTTATAAACATAAAACATTAGGCAGCATATAATCCATATATTTGCTTACATACAACTTATATAATTACAAAAAATAGCAACAACATGATATAGGGAATCTATTAATAAAGTAATAGTAATTATGAAGAGTCTGTCGATCTAGAATGTTGCAATAAAAGTAACAATAAAGAGATACAAAAACTTTGTATAAAAACATGAATAATAATAATAATAATAATAATAATAATAATAATAACAACAACACCAATAATGGTGTATTGGTCCAGAAAGATGTGTGAAAAAATAAAATGTATGACTGAATAAAACTCGTGGAAAATAACATATCAAAAATGAGAATTGTGTCGACGAAGACATCTTATAACAACACTAATAAGATGCATTATAACTTGCATTAAGATTCTAACAATACCAACAACAACATTAATAATGATTCTAATCTTCATGACTGATCTTCCTGATGTCATCAGTTCCCAAGAAGACAGAAAACACAAATATATATTTTTCCTGCCTCAATAGCAAATTTGGTATCTCTGAAAAAACTAACCTGGTTGGTCTCCAAATGGGCTTCCAATCTGTGGTTGAATGGGTCATGAGATGGCTGGTAAACTTTAATGCCCCCCCCAAAGAAAAACCTACTCACATTTATCCACCACAGAGAACCCTTCCTGCCTCATATTAGAATAACTGAATCACGTTTCTTTACTCTTGCTCCTACGCTCTGTAACTACTTGCGTGCTAGTGGCACCTCCTGCTTCGCTTGGGGTGAAATGCTTAATACTAATACTAATACTAATACTAATAATAATAATAATAATGCTTTCTTACTGACATTCCTGCACATGGTAATTTACCTTTGAATATCTTCTAAAACATATGAAAAGACAAGGATCTTGAAGTGGAAGTTTAAAAAATATGGCACATGGGGACATCAATAAATCCACTTGTAGTTGGAGCTCTCGGATTTCTTAGAAAAAGTTATGATAGACAAATTGAAGGCATTTTTTTTTAAGCCAATGTCTTAAATAAATACAAAAAATTGTACTCAAATGTAGAGCTTGCCCATTACAATGAGTCTTGGCTATGTAAACTATTTGCGATCTTACTATTCTTTTGATTTTGTTTTTACAAAAATGATCAGTGGAAAATGTCATGAAGCTATTTCTGACCTTAGTTCTCTGGTTGGGTTCCGAAAGGAAATGTCTATACAATGGAAATCCAAGGAAATAATAATAATAATAATGGATTGTCCCAGAAAGATGCGTGGAAAATATGATTGAATAAAACTCATAGAAATATAATATAATATCTATAATGAGAATGAACACTCCTATTTTTTTTTTATAAGAATTTCTCCTCAAGCAAGGTGGGAGTGCCACTAGTATCCAAAGGGTTATAGAGAGTGAAAGTAAGAGAAAAGACAGTGTATAGTGGCGGGGAAGGAAAAATCAAAAGAAAGGGGATCAAGATGATGTCGATTGACGTTATGTTTAAATCTTTCAAGATTATAGCAATCACTAAAGCAGTTAAGCAGACGGGTGTTCCACTGTTGGGAACTGGGTGACAAGAAGCTGTTGGAGTAAAAGAGACGGTTACATTTAACTATTTCAGCAGTACAAGGGTGGGACCGAGGTGGCAACCGGGTAGAACGCTTTAATTCATGCAGTCGGCCAACCAGTGGAAATAGCTCGTCAGAGCACTTGCCATGAAAATATTTGTAGAAAAGACAGAGGGAAGCCACATCACATCTGTGAGAAAAGGACTGGAGTCGAGATTCCAGGTCAGGACCTATCACATTGCCAATCCGTCTTTGGACATTGAACA